AAAAAAGAACCACGATGACGTGGGTCATTGCGGGTTTGAAAAAACTCTTCAACGTATTCGGAAACATTATTGGTTTGCCAAAATGAGGCGCTTCACAAAAAAATATGTTTCGTCTTGCTTAGAGTGTGCGCATCACAAAGCACCTGGAGGTAAGCGAGAGGGTGAGCTCCACCCCATAGACAAAGTCAGCATACCTTTCCATACACTTCACGCTGATCATCTCGGACCATTACTAAAAGATAACAATTTCCTTTTTTACTTTTTAGTAATGGTCGATGGTTTTTCTAAATTCGTTAACATAACCCCAGTCAAAAATACGAAATCCATCACTAGTATAAAAGCAGTTAAAGACCACATTAAATACTTCGGGGTCCCCTCCCGACTTATTACAGACAAAGGGTCAAGCTTCACAAGTAACACTTTTAAAGACTTCGTAACAACATACGGTATTAAACATATTCAAAACGCCGTTGCCACCCCCCGAGCGAATGGTCAAGTAGAGCGGTTTAATCGAACCATTCTTAACGCATTATCTACCTCATCACACGGCGATGATGATAAAAACTGGGATGATCATATTTCTGACATTCAGGTAGGTCTCAATACAACAACTCACAAAACTACTCGGAAAAGTCCATCAGAGCTTCTCTTTGGATTCAATATCACAACTCGATCACAGGGCATTTTAAGTTCTGTTATCAATGACACAATTCATGTTTCCAATGCGGAGGAGTTGGGAGAAATCAGGAATACAGCTAGCAAAAAAATTAAAGAACAGCAAGTTAAAGATGCTGAAAGGTTCAATAAAAGTAGAAAACCCGCTAAACAGTATAGCGAGGGTGACTTGGTACGTGTAGAAAGGCAAGTTCCCCATGACGGTAAATCCCAGAAGCTTGTAATTAAATATCAGGGCCCCTATCGTATAGTGAAAGTGCTCCCTAATGACAGGTTTTTGATAGAAGATACCCCTCTGACACGTAGACACGGTCGACGCTATGAAAATATAGTAGCGATAGATAAACTACAGCCTTGGATGAGTTTTAATAGGGACTTAACATTTAGTGACACAGAAAGTGGTGACAGCGAACGTGATTAGATGATTTATATAAGTAATCCAATATGTATTTAAAAAAAAATGTAATTTATGTTTTCATTATAATTGTTACCTTTGAATTATTATGTTAATAGTATACCTATATCGACAATCTCTCGAACACTTGTTATATAATAAGAATTTGTTGTAAGAATCGTCTAAAAATCTTGATTTTTAAATGTAAGTTCAAGCGACCGTATTATGTATTTACTAATTTAAATTGTTGAGTGTAATTAATAATACAAATTATTCCTTTCATTGAAAATGTATTTAGTTCATACCCTAGAATAAAGTTTACATTCTCTAACACATTTACTTGTTATGTTGTGTATCTAGATGTAAATGTTATGTATCTAGATGTAAATGTTTTGTTGCATAAGCGAAGGGACTCGCATCAAACAGGATGGCCGAGTTGTAAGCGACATATTAGATATATAAATAATTTTGTCCTATTGTAATTATATTTTTGTAATATTAGAGCACTATTTATATTAAAGAGTATATTTGGTCATGAGCATTGTTTCCGTTGCTACATTGTTAGGTTGGTAGCGCTAGTAGCTTTAGTTGATGGCGCCACAATACACTATATTGGTGGCGCCAAAAATGCAGCCCTACCAAAAAGCTCCCACCATACTGCTAACGTTTCTTAATTTGTGATACTCGAGTGCTCGACATTCTGTTTGTTGGAGTCTCAGAGGACAGTGCCTCTCATCTTGCTTTACCGTGCCATTTTATCATGCAAAGTGTATAATAGTAATTAGTCTTCATACCAATAAACGAAGAACACAAGGAGTTGGAATTTTATTTCTGAAACTTCCTAATAGTTTCAGAAGTCGGATAGAGGAAGTCTACATAGGACTTTCACCACGCCTACAAACGTAAGTCTTTGTTTAATTAATATCGTATATTTAAAAAAAAAGGAATATTTTAAACACATTTTAAATTTACTACCTCAAATAATTTTTTTTTTTGTTGTGTAATGACATAAAAGTTTCGATCTGCTATTCCTGTTCATACTCCTTGCCAGGGCTACTCCCTGGAGGTGGATGGAATTAATTTCGGATTGTGACATGTTACTACACACCTGCTAATGGTCCTAATTACACACAGTTTATTAATAAGGAATGTAATGGCATATTATATTATATATATTATATATATTCGATTGGTCATTGTGTCTCGTCATTGTCTCTCGTTCGTCGGTGATAACTTTACTAGTGGTTCTCAAACTTTACAATGTCTGCATCGGAATCTGAAGATACTTTCTTGAAGTGCTCGAAGTGTGACGATAATTTTACTGATGGAGTGCATTGCAGTGCGTGCAACAAATACCAACACTTTCATTGCGCTGGGATCACCGAAAAAGGATACCGTCAATTAGGCAGCAGGAAAAATGTATGGCGATGCTACAAATGTAAGCAACCTCCTGTAACATCAGATGGTAACTATGAGACGCTTCTGAAGGAAATAAAAGCTATCGGCGTAAGGTTGATGCCGCTTGATTCTTTGGTCCTGGAAGTGCAGAAGCTTCGAGCGGATCTTTCTGAACTGAAGACTACAGCAGAGGCTACTGAAAACACCATTAAGGAATTTTCAACGAGGTTCACAAAGGTTGAAAGCCGTTTAAAACTTCTCGAGAATGCAAAGACTGAACAGGCCGCTATGAAATCCCAAGTGGAAAAAATTGTAAACGATCTCAATGAAAAGGAACAATGGGATCGCATGAACAACATCGAGTTGAAGGGCATTCCCCAAAACAAGAATGAAAACTTACTGGACTTAGTGTGCTCACTGGGTAACAAGATCCAATACCCATTGTCTAAGACGCAGCTCAACTTTGCAACGCGTGTCCAGACACGTGACCCGGACCACATTAAACCTGTTATTGTCTGCTTTAACAATAGATATGTAAAAGATTTTATAGCAGCGGCCAGAGCAGCAATTAAAACATCTCCAATTGTGCCATCTCAGCTGGGCCTACAAGGTCGTTCTAACATATATGTGAATGATCATCTTACTATTCAAAATAAAACACTATTAACAAACGCCAAGAAGCTGGGCAAAGAACAGGGGTTTCAGTACACTTGGGTGAAGAATGCAAGAATTTTCCTTCGAAAAAACGATTCTTCTCCTATCATAACTATAAGAACACCCAAAGACCTTTCAAAAATTTCGTCGCAGTAATTGTTTTATTGTTTATGAACAATTTATCTATTTTTGTTTCCTCTGTCACTTTATCAAAAGTAATGTATAAAGTATTCTATAAATTTCAATTTTTGAGTTACACGTCAAAGAGTTTGAGAACCGCAGAAATGAATTTGAATGTCCGAGCAAATGCAGGTAAGAAATACTTATTAATTACATACAGCTTTATGCCAACTTATGCACACACATTACATAATTTTTATTATTTGCATTGGTACTATATTGTAACTAAGTTATTTTCTATATTGATCGTATGCTTTTGTATTCACTTTTCGCCATTATCGCTTATAGTTTTATTCGTTATCGTACGCTACTACCTACATGCGTTTTTTATTGTTTCGTCTCGTATCCACAGAATGTTTCTAGTAGTTTCTACAGTCATCAATAAGTATATAGTATGCAAACAGCACATACAGTTTGTAGCAGTATTAGATGTTTTTTGTTTTGTATATTTGATTGTTGCTGTGATAATGATAATTTTATTTTTATTTTTATGTACCCCCAAAAATGTTTGGACTTAATTTATATTATCAGAATACTAGAGGCTTGCGTACTAAGACCAGTACGTTTTTAAGAAATGTTTATTTAAATTCGTATGATATTATATCGTTAACCGAGACTTGGTTGATCGATGGCATCAATGACTCTGAACTATTTGATTCAAGATATGTTGTGTGGAGGCGTGATCGTGATTATGTTCGTACTTGTCAATCAAAAGGTGGAGGGGTACTTTTAGCAGTGCGGCGTGATCTAACGGTTACTGAGAGGCCTGAGTGGCGTAGTTCGGCTGAGGATATTTGGCTTTCGGTTAGTATTAGTAGTAAGCGCTCTGTGGGCTCTGGTACTCTTCATATTTGCACTCTTTATCTTTGTGATGATGGAATGGGTCTATCGCATAACGCACAATTGTATAATTTTACAAATAAGCTAAATGAACTAATTATCTCGCATCCTCTTGATAAATTTATAATTTTAGGTGATTTTAATTTTAAAGATTACGTGTCTTGGACTCGTCTTACTGATGATTTACATTATTCGCCCGCGTTAAATCAATATAATAAGACTATCATTGATTTCATTGATACAATGCATTCGTGTAGTTTAAGTCAATATAATGGTGAATTAAATCATTTGGGGCGTGTATTGGATCTTGCTTTATCTAATGACATCATTCACGTGTCTTCATGTGCCTCTCCACTTGTCCCTGAGGATGTACACCATAAATCTCTCTGTTTGAGAGCTGAATTTATACAAGTTGGCGGACTTACCGAAAAATCATCAATAAAGTACCTTTATTCTAATGCTGATTATGCGAAAATTAATTATGAAATTTGTAACATTGATTGGTCATTGCTATGTGGTTCTGTTGCCATCCCTTTGGATCAAGCTGTTGATGTTTTTTATAATAAGTTATATGAGTTAAGAGATAAATATATAGTTAAAAAAATGTGTACACCTAGTAAATATCCTCCGTGGTATAATTCATCTTTGATTAAGCTTCTCAAGGAGAAATACAAATATCATAAAAAATATACAACTTATAATAATTTGGCCGATTATCATTCATTTTCCCTATTAAGAGAACGTGCAAAAGTTATGGAACGGAATTGCTATTCTTCCTATATCTCTTTTGTTCAATCTTCTATTGTTCAAAATCCAAAGTTTTTCTGGACTTATGTCAAGAGTAAATACAAATCATCATCTGTTCCTAATAATGTAAAATATAATGACACAACTGCCTCAACAGGTGAGGCTATTAGTAACCTATTTGCCACGTATTTTCAAACAAACTTTTCTTCTAATAATATCAATACTCAGTACCCAAGCAACGTATCAAGTGTGTATAGAAGTTCTGGTTGCAGTATATCCTCTGTTGAGGTATGCTCGTCTGAAATCTTGCGACTATTGAAATCTCTCGACTTATCCAAAGGTGAGGGACCAGATTCTATTCCAGCTGTCCTTCTTGTAAACTGTGCTGATTCACTGGTAGTACCAATCTCAATAATATTTAAACGATCAATTGGTGAAGGAGTCGTGCCTACAATTTGGAAGTCAGCGTTCATTACTCCTGTACACAAAAAAGGAGACAAGCACAATATTGAGAATTATAGACCAATTTCTAAGCTTTGTCTCATTGCTAAAATTTTTGAAAAACTAGTTTATAAACAGTTGTATGCTGCTCTAAAGACTTCCTTCAGTGAATGTCAGCATGGTTTTCTTAGTAACCGTTCCACAACGACAAATTTAGTTGAGGCCGCTGACCTTATATCTGCAGGTATGGAGGCTGGAGCTCAGGTAGACGTTCTGTATACTGACTTTAGTAAATGTTTTGACCGTATTGACCATTCAGTTTTACTTGCTAAGCTGTCGATTGCCGGTGTGCATGGTGACCTGTTCAGATGGTTCTCTTCGTACATCGACAGACGCAGTCAGGCGGTGGTACTGTCGGGTTACAAGTCTAACTGGAATTTTGTTCCCTCGGGCGTGCCCCAGGGGTCTTTGCTGGGCCCGTTATTGTTCACCATATTTGTTAATGACATTCAATTATGCTTCCGTAACTCTGAGATATTACTCTATGCAGATGATATGAAAATATTTAAGAGAGTACTATCAATTGAAGATGCACGGGAGCTACAAAGTGATCTAGATCGGTTTGTAGCTTGTTGTCATAGCAATAAATTTAGATCTAAATGTGTCTAAGTGTTTTGTTGTATCTTACTCTCGTAAACGAGATATTATCAGCGTAGGTTATAGTGTTCGGGGGAGTTTCATTAATAGGGTGAACAATGTTAAGGATCTTGGCGTGTACTTTGATTCCCAATTGATCTTTGACAAACATATCGATAGTATTGTTACCAAAGCATATACAGCCATGGGATTTTTGATGCGGACTTGTAGTGATTTTTCTGACATTAAGCCTATAAAGGTGCTCTATTGTTCTCTTGTACGTAGTCACCTTGAATATGCTTCTCAAGTGTGGAATCCCAGATACGAAGTTTATAAATCACGTATTGAAGCTATTCAGAAAAAATTCTTAAGGTATTTGGATTTCAAAACGAAGCAGCAAACTTCAGGCTATGTAGTGCGTTGTAAGCGTTATCATTTTGTTCCTCTCGATTTTAGGCGAAGAGTGAATGACATTTGTTTTCTTTCTAAAATAGTGAACAGTAAAGTTGACTCATCAAATTTATTGTCAAAGGTATCATTTAGAACTAACCTGTTGAGTTTAAGGCATCACTCGGTATTTAGTGTACCCAATGCGAGGACTAATTACCGACAAAATTCATTTCTTGTCAGAGCAGTGAATGAGTTCAACCAATCGTCTTTGGATACTGATATTGATATATTTAGTACCAGCGTCGACTCGATTCGGCGTCTACTTACTAAACAATATTTTAAAAATTAAGTTTACTAGCTCTATTTTGTGCGGTTGGCTAAACTGTGGTTTTGTGTTAATATTATGTTATTATTATTATTGTTCTCACTATTGTTATTATTTACATTTTTCTCTTTCCTGCATCTGCTTGTCTTCCTATAGTTAATTAATGTTTTCTCTTTCCTTTGTGTGACTTAATGTTACTTTAAAAATTAATTTTGCTTAGCATTTGGTAGTGTATTCGTTTATTGAAGTTGTAATCTTGGTTTTTCTTAATTTATTTTATTTTATTTTGCTGTTTACCAAAACTTACTTACATTATTTTTTAAGCTATTTGTGGAGATTTATAATTAGCATTGTAACTTGTAATATTATCACTTATTTGTATTAATTTAGCTGTTAATCTCCCTAAAATAAATAAATAAATAAATAAATAAATAAATTAAGTCATATATCCGTCATTTCTATTCGTACGCCTTGCCAGGGCTACTCCCTGGAGGTGGATGGAATTAATTGCGGATTGTGACTTGTTATTACATGCCTCCTAACGGTCTTAATTAAAAATAGTTACGTAATAAGGGATGTAATCACATATTAGGTCTCGGATCTGCTATTCCTGTTCATACACCTTGCCAGGGCTACTCTCTGGGGGTGGATGGAATTAATTGCGGATTGTGACTTGTTATTACAAATCTTCAACGGTTTTAATTACACAGTTACTTAATACGG